TGGTGACCTCCGTCTGCGCCCCCAGGCCGCGGCCTATGGCCGGTGCGTGCAGGCCTCCACGGCCCCGGGCGGCCGCCTGAGGAAGGACCTCTGCGCGCGGGAGTTCGAGGCGCTGCGGAGCTGCTTCGCCGGCGCGGTAGGTGCCCCCCACCCGCACCCCCGCGCGCGCCCAGGGCCCTAGAGGCGCCGGCAGCGCCGCGGCGACGTGGTCACTCGTCTTCAGAGGACCCCAAGCTGCGGGACGGCGCTGGAGGCGGGAGCGCCCTGGAAAGGGGGGGTCGGCTGGGCGGGGGCGCGGGCTGCCGGCCGGGAGTGATGCCATGGACCACCTCGGCCCACAGGGCTGCTGACCTACAAAGCTGGGGTGCGGCTGGGGCCAGGGGCCCGCGGGGTGCTGCTCTCGGTGGCCGGCGGGCCTGGTCACCAGCGCCGCCCAGCGTGGGCCGGACCCCGCCTCCCTCGCCCCTGGCTCCTCTCCCTGCAGCCCACGGCCGTGGGGGCTTCGCGGTGCCAGGTCACCCGCCCCCTGCCGCCCCGTTGCTCTGGTACACCTGGCACCGGAAGGGCAGGACTAGGAGCTGAGGACCCGCGAGTGTCCAAGAGGGGCGGTGGGCTCCTCCCCTCCCCCCAACCCCCTGGCGGTCTAGGCAGCCCCATCCCTGTGGAAGGCCTGGGCCGGCCCTGAAGGGTGCCTGCAGGCCTCAGCTCGGGCTGGGCGGGACCTGGCAGCTGCCAGTCAGACGCACTTTACTTTCAGGCCAAGAAGACCCTGGAGGGCCATTAGGAAGGACGTTGAGGCTGCATGGCCAGGACTCCGACAGGACAGCCGGCCTTGGGCGGGAGGGAGAGGAGTGGCCAGCGCGGAGGCCGGTTGGTGACTGAGCAATAAAGCGGTCGGCGCCGACAGCGCCCGTGCTGTGTCCATGCGCCTTGTCTGCTGCTGGCGGGGAGCAGCGAGGGCCTCCGGGATCCCAGCTGGGGGGGGCCCCATCAGCCCTCCCCCATCTCACCTGCCCACCCCAGCTCCCAACAGGCCTGCGGTGGCCTACCCTGGCAGGAAAGCCTCTGCCCTTCAGGCCCAGAGCAGTGGGGGCCCTGCCCCACACCCCAAGACCAAGGTTAGAGCAGGGCTGCCTGGGTCCCAGAACCCACGGGCAGGGCCGCTGTGAGCCGCGTGAGGACCTGTGGTCCTGTTTCCTCACTGTTCCAAAAGCCAGGAGCCTCCAGCGTGACCCCATTTCTGAAGCAGGAGCCTCCCTCCTAGAGAGCTGGGGCCGGGGGGCTGCAGGCTGTGTCCAGGTGGGCCTGGGGCCACTCTTGCCTCAGCCCTCACCTGGAGGGCCGGCCCTGGCCTGTGGGGCCCCTCTGGGGTGCCCGTGCCAGGGCTCACCCTTGCAGCCTGCCCCGTTCCCATACTCACCCACTGGCAGCACAGCTGGGCAGAGACCCAGGCTCCCACCCTGGGGGGTCAGGCTGCACCTGCCCACCCCCCAGCTCGCGCTGCGGAGGGTGCCTGCCCCCAGGACGGCCACCCAGCCTGGGCCTGGCCACAACTGCCTGTTGGAGCCGGGGCAGAGGGCACTGCCTATGGCAGAAAGCACCGAGCAGCCGGGGCCCCAGACCGCGACCGCTGGGGAGGCCCAGTCGCCTCCACCCTCCCAAGGGTGCAGGGGCGAGGGCGGCCGCTCCTGCCCCACCCCACCGGCGCGGCGGGAGTCTCAGCTCCAGAGCCTCCCGCAGGAAACTTGCCTCAGCTGTGCAATGTGGCAGCTTTGGGGTGCTTCCCACACCACACCCTGAGTGAGCGGGGCCACCTGAGCAGGAAAGCGTTTATTGGTCCCTGGAGGCAGGGCGGGGCCTCAGGTGCCGGCTGGCAGAAGCTGGGGCTGCGAGGCCCAGTCCACGCAGTCCCGGCGGGCTCCCTGCCAACCAGCTGAGGCCCAGGACACTCAGGCCTCCTCCCGGGCGGCGGGCACCTGCTTGACCCGGCGGCCAGGCACCACCCGCAGAGTGCCCCCCGCGGCCTGGTGCAGCTGGGTCTCCAGGGCGCTGCGCAGGTCGCTGACCCGCACGTCGGGCAGTGGGTCAAGGCTGATGAGCACCCCATGCCCGGGGGCCAGGCCCCCACTGGCAGGAGGGCCCAGGGCACGCCGCCGCCGCCGCAGGTCCGTGTCTCCCTGGACCTTCAGCTCCCGGTTGGGTCTGGCGTTGTCTGGCTTCGGGGCCCCGGCGGCGGCTGGCCTGGGTCCGGGCCCAGGCCCAGGCCCGGCGTCCAGCCTCTGTTCCGGCTGTTGGGCGGCAGCGTCCTCCCCGGGGGCAGGAGCCTGGCCCCTGCCAAGGGTGTCCTCCCCGGCCTCCGGGGGCCCGGCCCGCGGCCTGTCCTGCTCCCTGTCAG